GGTTGGCAACCTAAAAACAGTAGCTGCATTGAATGGCTGCTAGTTGATCTTCTTCTTGACAATAGCACAATAACAGGAGTGGCAACACAAGGATGTAGCAGTCGCACGTCAAAATCTGTTTTAAGTGTAACCAAATACGAACTAGAATTCAGCAATGATAGTAAAGCGTTTTATGCAGACCATCAGGTAAGCTTATTTCGTTTTTCTTATAATGAAAACCCAAAGCTTATATATTTGTCTTTAGAGTTAGTTCCACAAAGCCGAAATACTTTTTGTCTAAACGTCTGAATTGGGGGGTGAAAGTGCGTCTTTGGGGGACAGAAAAGCTTGTATTTTATGTGATCAAGTAAATGGTTTTCCAGGGAGAATTTGGCATAACAAGAGAAAAGTATTAAGTGTATATTAAAGGATGGTTTCAAAGTAAAAGGTTTCAATTTAAAGTATTTAAATACTTTAGCAGAATTTCTCTCTCGATGAAATGTTTACAACTACAGTTTACTTGAAAGCAGGCTGTTTTGTGAACTCAACATTTCCGAAAAAGACGAATTTTTCCCCCGAAATGAAAGTTTCTTTATGACTTAAAGAAAATGAAAGCAAATATTTACGATAATTCTACATTTCAAGTAAACAGAACAAACTAGGGAACACTACAGAGAAACAACGCCTTATTTCAAGCAACCGTGGCCGTTGTCTCCGCTTTTCTATAGTCGCCCCCTCCCCTCTCTGATTTTTTTTATGAGGGGAGGCTAATGGAACTCAGGCTTGAATAGCAAAATTTAATGCCTTTTTGAGATGTGCCAATTGAAATCGCGAAACTGTGATAAATCCCCGCGAAATTAATGTAGCAAAAACGGCAACATAACCCCTCAAAAAAAAAAAAAAAAAAAAAAAAAAAAACGTGGGTGTTTATTTTTTTCTTTTTAAAAAAATAAAAATTTTTTTTTTAAAAAAAACAATATTAAATTTTTTTTCCAAAAAAATATGTATATTTTTTTTCTAAAAAATATTTTAATATAATCTTCCTAATACAAAATACTCCCCTTTTCTAAAATCATAGNAAAAAAAACGTGGGAGTGTAATTACTGCACTGAGGTAACAGTTGACTTTCTCTGTTGATATCAGCATTGTTAATGTTTGTTTCCGTACACTATGTTTCTATTTACTTTACCAAAGTACGTTACAATAATTACTGGATGACACAGTAGTACCTCTTTCATAAAACAGAGGATAATATCTCATAACATATGACTTATCTATGTTCCCCGAATACTCTAAAATCCTCTTTTCCCTCAAATTAGTTATACGCAGGAAACACAGACGAGGACACAGTCGTATATCACACCTTGGATACACCAATAAAGGCTCGCTATGTTCGCTTCCAACCAAAATTTTGGAAAAATGAGATATGTATGAGAGTGGAGCTCTATGGCAAAATCGCAAAAGGTACTTAAGTTATGTAACTGGCACTTTCCTATAAGCTATACTTTTGGTCCCAAATTACTTTTTGAATAAGTAGGCTTAAAAATGATTTTAATTTACTTTTGGCTCACTATAAAACGTAATCAAATTAATATCACATAAATAATACTTACAGATACTATTTGTAATATCATCACATGTAAATTGTGCGTTTGGAAATTAAATTTCATGTTCAAGACATCTCTGAAAAGCGTAAATGAATTTATTATTTGACAATATGAAGAATTAAAAATTATCGAGGAGGTAAGTGTATCAAATAAGGCTCCGCTGGTCAATCAGGCCACCTGATGATCCCCTTCCAGAGACTCTCGTGGAAACACTCAGATCAAACCGATGACGCTTTCTATCCAGTAAGACACTTCTTACTTACCCTACTTGGCGTGCGCTGATGAGCGCAGTTTCAGCTCGATGAAAAGAATAAAGACTTCTCTACCTAATACGAAGACAGATGAGCGACTTTCATCTTTGTCGATTTTACATATACATTAAGTTTATTTTGATAACGTCGCTAAATTTGCGCAACGAAAGGGAAAGCACAAGAAAATGATTTGATGCATGGCGAAATGACCGTAAATCTTGCTTTCTTATTAGCCTGTGTAAACAAGGTTTTTTTAATATAGATTTCTTATTGTTTCATGTTCATTCCACTGTGCCATTCTTTCCCAAGCTTGTGATTCCAGTCCATGTCTCAATGGAGGAACCTGTTTTGAAGACGAATGCGGAAAAGAGTACATCTGTAAATGCAATAGTGGATGGAAAGGAGACAATTGCGAAAAAAATATGACAGGTAGCCTTTGATATTAAGAAACGTTCTTATTATATATTTGTGGCTTGTAAGAAATCCAGAGCATACACAGGCATCACCTTAAGGTGACTCGACCTAGTTATTTTGTGAGGGTACTATCCTACTTTGAAGCTCTCTGGTATCCCCACCTTTACTTTTATCGTAAGTGTAACACATAGAATGGATAACATATAGATCAATCTACAATATAACATAAAATTTTTGGCGATCGGAGTAAATGTCACGTGGTTATAGTGCCACGACTCTTTGGGGTCTGAGTCAGAATTCTGCTGTTGCCGGCATTTTTTGGTGAAAATCTCTCGGCTACATATAGTGCGTATTAGTGCCTTGCGTTGACCAGAGTTTCGTCAAAATCGCAAAGACCCAATGCGAGAAATTCAGCGGTTTCCAAATTTAGGTCATAATTTATGTGAAAATGATAAGCAAACTTTACACGATTATATCTAATAAACTATGAGATTTATCCCTTTATTTTAGGAACCTTTATAACAGATGGTTCCTTGCAAGTCAGCAAAAAGCTTTTAAGGGCCTTGCAAATGCGCGCGATTTCGAGAAATGCAAACATATAGAAATTATTGTCTTAGCTACTTGTTGACGTTCGTCAGTGTTTAAGAGTCCTTCTCACGAAAAAAGTATTTTCTTAAAAACTCGTAGTTTTTTTTTCTTCAATTTTTTTCCGGGCCACAATTGATTAACTAACTACCCGGATTCTGAATTTCGATCATGGTCATTGAAACTGTGACATTATCTTCTATAAGCCCAAACTTAGGTAACCATTGAAGATTTTTAGCGTTTTGGCTGAGTTTGTGTTTTGGGAGTTTTCTATTGTTTCTAATCTGTCATGAAACAGCATTCTCGTTCAGTACGCGTGCAATGACCGCGCTTGGCTGACTCTCGCTTGGCTGGCTTTCACATAAATAATGACCTAAATTTGGAAACCGCTGAATTTCTCGCATTGGGTCTTTGCAATTTTGGCGAAACTCTGGTCAACGCAAGGCACTAATGCGAACTATATGTAGCCGAGAGATTTTCACCAACAAATGCCGGCAACAGCAGAATTTCGACTCAAACCCCAAAGAGGCGTGGCACAGGATAACCACGTGACATTTACTGCGATCGTCAAAAATTTTATGCTATATTGTAGATTGATCTATATGTTATCCATGCTATATGTTAGACTTACGATCAAAGTAAAGGTGGGGATACCAGAGAGCTTCAAAGTAGGATGGTACCCAAAATAACTGGGTCGTGTCACCTTAAGGTGCTCAGTTCGAAATGTCATGCATGAGCGGTGAATTCCATATTTTGAAAAGACGTAAGATAAATGTTATGAATGAAATCGCGTTGCAACCCCTTATCATAGCTATATCAACTGTAAAAATAGCCTATTGTTTCCAGCTTATTTATTAATAACTGTGTATTGTCAATCTTTAAAATTTCCAAGCTTGTGATTCCAGTCCATGTCTCAATGGAGGAATCTGCCATGAAGAGGAAAGTGGACAAGGGTACATCTGTAAATGCAGTTGTGGATGGAAAGGAGACAATTGCGAAAACAAGACTTATACAGGTACCCCCTAAATTTAGAAACGTTCTTCATTATACATTTGTGGCTTATGTTTATTCAACTGTGCCATTCTTTTCCAAGCTTGTGATTCCAGTCCATGTCTCAATGGAGGAACCTGTTTTGAAGACAAAAGCGGAGAAGAGTACATCTGTAAATGCAGTAGTGGATGGAAAGGAGACAATTGCGAAAATAAGACTTATGCAGGTACCCCCTAAGTTTAGAAACGTTCTTCATTATGCATTTGTGGCTTATCTTCATTCAACTGTGCCATTCTTTCTCAAGCTTGTGATTCCAGTCCATGTCTCACCCTGAAATTTCAAGACACGAACCGGTCAAAAATCCGCGCTACAACATTCACTGTTTTGATGTTATGCTAATTTTTCCAAATTAATGCGGACAATACATATATCTATGACTAGTACATTTCAGTGTGAGTATTGTCAATGTTTTACATTCAAAAGATGCGATAAATTCAAACTAAAATGTACTAGTCATGGAGGTATGTATAGTGCGCATTATTTTGGAAAAATTTCCATAACTTTAAAACAGTGAATGTGTACGTTGTAACGCAGATTTTTGACCGGTAAGTAGGATAGATTTGTCTTGAAATTTCAAGGTGTTGCAGTGAATCAATCTTAATGAAAGTTTCAGACATTGTTACATACATTGTAAAGATTATGTGAAGAGATTTTAAAAAAATTCGTTTGAGTAGTTTCAGAGATATACAAAAAGGCGCTAAAAGTCCAAATTTTGAATGAAGTTGCACTTATACAAGTAGTGAGAAAACGGCTTAGCTTTCAAGATCGCAAGAACGAAAATACACCAAAATTTCCTAGCATCAAAATATGATATTAAGAAGCATTCTGACGCCACTTATTAAGAATAATTTGAGTCAATTATGACGTTTTTATTAAATCATCATCACGGCTATTGAAAAGTTAAGGTTTGAAATTTTTTTTCGTTTTAGTCGAATGCAAACATACAGAATTTTTTACTCCTTACGGAGATAGTTTGCTAAATACTAAACTTTAATTTCCTGGCGTTAGATTTTCACTAGCTGGTCTAGATCACACAAAATCCGGCTTTTACCAGTTTCAGATTTTTTTGTTTATTGTTGTCATAGTAATATCGATTTTACTTAAAACTGCATTTTCACAAATTTCAATCCATAGGCAATTACTTGTGAAAATTTTATAGCGATCGGACAAGGAAAAAACGACTTTTAAGGCGGTTGAAAAATATCGGTATGGCCTCTAAAAAACTGTATCGAAACACCTTAACCGCGGTCGGAATTTAGTAAAAAGTTGAATTTGCTGATCAGTAGTACGCCCACAAGTATTAAGCTCACCAGCACGAAAGTATCGAGCTAACCCGTTTCAAGGACGACCCGCAACAGAAGTAAGTAAAGCATGATTGTGAAATTAGAGTTTCGAATTGAGACATTACCAGTGAAATTATTGTGCTAGAAATTATAAGCAAGCTAAGTTGCGTAATCTTAAATTGTATTGCTCTGTTTCAGATCGAATAATCAAATCAAATCAAATCTAATCCAATCTAATCCAATCCATTCTACTTCAATTCTAGTTTAATAAACAAACGATTATACGATAAGTGGTGGTCGTTGGAGTTTGGCTCATGATTTAGTCCCGGGATAGAATAATAATAATAATAATAATAATAATAATAACAATAATAATAATAATAATAATAATAATAATAATAATAACAATAATAATAGACACATAAAGCGCGGTAACCACTAATTTCTCAAAGCGCCGTACAATAATATGGTAAGAAACTAGAGTTAAAAACTATTATAAGATAAAATAAAGTTAAATGAAGTTACTAAAATCAAACATCGTAGTCTAAGTTAAATAAGTACGTCTTCAACTGCGACCTGAACTGGTCGAAAGATGTAACTCCCCTGAGTTCAGGAGGCAATTGGTTCCATAACCTAGGAGCAGCTGCGGAAAAAGCCCCATTTAGTGCATGTCTACGTGAAACACCCCAATCCTTACATTCTTGGCCTAGAACTAACCTAGCGCTTAATGACAATTTTTCAGGGCCTTGTGAAATTCAAAGTCCATTTGTCAAGGTACACATAATTATTCATTTTTATAGTTTTATATGTACTTACATTTAGTAATCTTCATCAATCTTCTAGAGTGGCTCTAAGGGGTGGCGTTGGGGGGAGGGGCTGAAGTTTTTGAAATTTAGTCATGTTTGTCGACACTTCAGATCACCCTTAAATTACCATTGGTCTTTCAATATACTGTTAGGTCAAAACATCTCTTTGCTTTCCTCCTGGTGTCCTGAGTGTAATTCATTGAAAACAAAACGCCGCTGCGAAATTTACAGGACTGAATGGGGTTGCTGTTTTAAATGTTATTTTTCCGTTGTAACCACAAAGTTGTATTAGGAGTTGACTGAGTCTCCAGATTAAAGCTAATACAATCAACCTATAGAAAATTTCTAGAACTCTGTTTAACAGAAAAGCGTTATGTGTTGTCGAGGTACCTTCACTCAGAACCTCATTTGTAAAATAAGCTTTGCATGATTAAGACAATTTTTTCCCGACTTAGGGCTGTCACTCAGGCTGGATGCTGATTGCTCGGTTCTCCAATAACGACGGCAAAAATTGGATGGCTGACAGTGGTGATTGGTGGTATGACCGAAGTAGTGCTTCTGGAGCAACAACTGATCCGTCAGTTAACGCTGACATGATCTCACCAGCATTTTGGCTGCTGAAAGGCAAAGAGTTTAAAATCACGCGCAGTGATGACTCCAGTCACACGCCACTGTTGCAGACCACGGGCAACTGTTTGGGTGAAAAGACATTCCGATCAAAAATCACAAGTTATGGCGACTTTAGAAATGGCAAGGTGTGGTCCAGTGACAGGTGCCTGGGAAGCTGCACGGTTCAATATGGCGGTCAGTACAAGACAACAGACGGGTTTCAACAGGCACAGTGTAGTAGCAACATCCAAAGTAGCAATAAGATCGGCTTCTGGTGTGACTGGGGTAACCCGTATGGGGATGGATCAGTGATGATGATTGGTGGAGGAGGAAGTAGCTGTAATCGTGCTGATCACGGGATTGGAATAACAGAACAAAATTCGGCCTCTTTTGTAGAACTAAGCAGTCGTGAAACTGAATATGACTTTGGTAATAACGCTCTAACTGAGAGAGGTAAAACCCCGCCATCGCGATCCTACTCATTAAACTTATGGATTCGTTGACCGACAGTTATCCTTAGTCACCCCTGTTTGTAAAGTGGGCTACGTTCATGAGTAGAACGTATTAAATCATTTTGTTATGAGGTAGTTGCCTTAGTTTTGTTTTTCAGTTTTGCTGTTTTTAAGGTTTTGCTAGCTTCGTGATAAACAGTTTACAGACTTTTATAGACTTAGAGACTTAGAGATTCAGTGTATTTCCCCACACGGTTAGTTTCTGAGTTTTTGTCTAGTATTATCCATTTGAAGTGTTTGTTAAGCTTAGTTTTGGTTCTTTGAAGTAGGCTTGTTTGGGGAGTACAGTTGACCTTGAGTTTTACCCACAATCGAGTTCCTGTTTTGTATGTTTTGTCCTTCTGGGCAGTTTCACTGTTAGCATTTAACTGGTTCTTTGGTGCTTGTCGGTTGCGGCTATGTAGATAAGCGATAAGATAGGCGTAGGATGTAGATATGCAAGATAGGCGATAAGATAATCAATGGAAACTCTTCCGGTCAGCTAACCCAAAATAAGTCTACAATTTGGTTATTTAATTCGCTGTGAAAGCTAGTAGAATTAGTAGAGTTGTTGTCAGTAGCTGTTGAAGATTAAACTGCTATCTTAAAGAGAAAGAACAGAGTCTTGGTCATCTCGTTGTAAAGCCTGGCGAGCTTCATAAGCCCTCAACATACTTACATTTAAAACAGTCCCAGACTTCAGGCTACTGATGTTGCTTCAATGATAAAAATGAAGGGCAAAATGTAACTATGAGAACATCGGCGTGCAAAAGAGATGCCAACCGCCACCAAGGGAGGTGGGAGGGGCGAAACTTAAACGCCACTTTCACCGAACTCCGTAGAACTGGCCAGGGAGCGGCTAAAACAGCGCTATTTGAAGCGAGGGCCGCAAGGCATCATGCCCGGCAGCGCGCAGGTCCGGTAGGACGGAATTTAACTGAGTTAAACCTTTCCGTCTTACGGGCTAATTATGTATGCTGTGAGAATAGTCACTGAACAAAGCATCAAACTGAGAAACTCAAGATGCCGGGTTTGACTTTTTCTGATAACTTTAGTGGAAATCTTTCATAGCAAACTAAATAAAGTAGCAGTCGGTTGTACAGAAGAATGTTTGCTTCAAAAGTTGCAAAGGTTTTCTTTAACTCAAACACTATGCTCAGAATTGGCAACGAGCAGCTTCGAGAAGACGAAAATTTGCACAAAGTGCCGTACAAGGTTGATAACATCTGTTCGATTTGGTTCAAAATTTTGAAAACGCACGTGCCTGCCGTTAAGTGATTTTAATAGTAAGATTTATCTTTTGTTGAAATCTGTCTTTGTTCATATTAAGGGATGGACCATAAGAAAAGTGATAGGGGGGGGGGGGGGGGAAAAATTAAAAAAAAATGTTGGGGGGGGGGGGGGGGGGGGCAAAATTCAAAAAATATTGTTAAGGACTACCTTGAATGATACAGTTGTAGGCCAGACATTGAAATTGAAGAGTTCAGCACTTTATATGATGATGTGTTATTCACAAATCTTCACTGACCAAACAACTAGGAACTTTTTGGAATAAAAGTTAATTATCCTTTGCATTGATATTTATTCACAAACCTCTTTGCAGTGAAGATATGTGCTTTTCACAACAACAATTAGTATTACTGACTGAGTTTTTTTGTTGACATAAATTAAATTGAACAACCCCGACACTCTTCCTCTACAAACACCATGCGTGTGCGGGCCCCAGTCAGGTGAATATGTTCCAGATCAACTACGAAGTGATTAACACTGAAATTACAGGCCGACGAAAAGAGATTTCCACCTTGCCTGTACAAAAAAAATCTTCCATCACTTTTCTAATGGTCCACCCCTAATTGGACGAGTTGGTAAAACAAGGGATACGTTCCGTTGGCACTAATTGACTTTCACTTGACCAAACAAACCTTTCCAGAAAAACAAAGTTTCACCTAGAACATACTGTTTTTGTTAATCTTCTACGTTCTCAGGATCTTATTCGAGTAGCCCATTAAATATCTTATAGCCAAATCTTGATTGTGTAACATTTAATAACTACTGTTTATTATAGATTTAATATGTGTTGCTAGTCATCAGTTCCTCCGTGAACCCGACAAAGACTAGTGTTGTAATATATCTTTGTTTTACTTTATTCATCGCGTCAAAGGAACCTCACCTACTTAGCTTTCTAGTCTATTTATGAATTTAATTGATGTATTAAATTCTTGTTATTATTCAGTATAAATGTGGCATATGAAACATACGAAAGTTTCACCTCCTGAAAAAAAAAAATTCCAGCCATCAGGTAAAAAAAAAAGATTTCCACCTTACATGTACAAAAAAAGAATCTTACATCTCTTAAAATCCCCACCATCTCTTTTCTAATGATCCATCCCTAATTGGACGCGCTGGTAAAACAAAGGATACGTTCCGTTGGCCCTAATTGACTTTTACTTGACCAAA